AGGAGGAGGGGTAGGTGGCGGCCCTCGGTTAGCTGGATGGATAAGCCGAGTTGGATTAGAGTTTGGGAGGCGAAGATTCCTCCGAAGTTGAAAGTTTTTGTTTGGCAAATTCTAAATCGGGCTCTTCCGACTACTGAGGCGCTTATTGAGAAAAAGGTCCAGGTGTTGCCTCGGTGCCCAGTCTGTTGGGATGGCCCAGAGACGATGGAGCATTTGTTCCTTTCCTGTCCAGTGGCACGGGCTCTCTGGGATTATTCCGGGCTGGATTACTTGGGGGAGGGCTTGCCTCGGCACACTTTTCCTTTGTTTCTTAATCGCCTGTTGGCACTGATTCATCAACCGTCAATGGTTATGGCTGTTGTTGCCATCCTTTGGAGGATCTGGCGTTCCCGGAATTGGTTAGTCTTTGAAGGCAAATAATTTGGGATTTCGGCTCTCATGCGCCAGTTTAATCAACAATATGAGGAATGGGTGGGGCTTCCTGCGGATCATGGTCCTCGAGTGCTGAACCCGGTATTGCAGCCGCCAGCGCAAGTGGGTGACTCCCAACTTGTGTGCATGTGGGATGGAGCTACGAAGGGTGGGTCGCATTCGGCTGGTGGGATGGTTCTTCTGGACCCAGCGCGGGCTCTCCTTCTGGCTAGAGGGGTTCAGTTTTCTCATATGGATGATCCTATGGTGGTGGAATTGCTCGTGCTCAGGGAAGCGTTTATTTGGTGTAGGGAGCTGGGTCTGGCGGAGGTCCGTTTTGAAGGCGATGCAAAGGTGATTATTGACAAAATTAATCAAGCCGACATAAGAGATAACCGGTTGGGTGCTGTTCTGGAAGAGATTGGCCATTATTTGCGTGCTCAGCCTGGTTTTAGTGTGCGTTTTGTAGGTCGGGAGAACAATAGGGTAGCTCATTTGGTAGCTAGGAAAGCCCTCTCTTTGTACCCGACTATGAGTCGCTTTTTTGATTTTCAGGCCTGGCTGATTTCCAGGGTGTAACTGCCTATTCGTTGATCAATATATGATATCTTTTGACAAAAAAAAAAAAAAGAAAGAAAGACATGTTGACCGTTAGTCAATGCGTTTGACCATTCAAGATAACGGTCAAATATTGAATTTGGCCAATTTCGTTACTTTGATCTCTAGTTTGGGCCAGGATGTTATAGATCGAAAAGTTTGGCCGGGATGTTTATTATGTGCAAAGTTCAGGCCATACAAATATATTAACCCTTTATTTAATGTATGACAGATTATTGTGAAAGCTTTATGTAATGAATTGTCTTTTTATGTAATGAATTTTAACCTCGCGTTAAGTAAAGTGATAAGTTATTAAGGATGACTTACATAATGCTTCTTATTTAACTATTACTTAAGAAGAATTTTTTTTACCAACCAAAGATAGCTTGCATTACGAAGAAAAATAGATCGAATGTTTACAACTTTATACGGAGCCAAGCGCAAAAATCAAAACCTAGCACATTCTCAGCGGACAATATAAGAGATTTTCTTGCCACCATATGGGCAACCCTATTGTTTTGTCTCCCCACAAACTGTATACTTTCACACCGGGATATACTTGTGCCTGAGAGCCTGGATCTCACGATAGAGGGCACCATTAGTCATGCACCGCGCATTCACCCTATCAATAATCTCTTTAGCACATCCCCTCGTATCCACACTGAACAAAGACCCTTAGCCACACCCCCAATGGAACGCTTCTTGAACACTATCAGCTCTACCATAGCCTGTTCGTAAACCCCTTCCAAGCGCCCAACTTTAACCATTACCACCGTCGCATAAGACTCATCCTGAATAGCTAAAAAAAAAACAATTATCATTTACTAACCTTTACATAATAGATATGTATTGTACGTAACAGTTGTACAACGGCTAGTTATCACCATGAGCACCGCCTGCCCCGCATCATGCTGCTTCGTCATAAAGTGCAAGCCACCGCCGATTTCTTTACAAGGAAAGAATTGTTATCAGTATTATGTATATGCTTACATTTCTACTTACCTAGAATAGGAACAAGTGACCCTGAATAGGAAAGGAGTGGCGATCATGGGCAGCGGCAGACGGATTGTTGATAATTGAAGAGTACTGTGAGTCTGTGACTGACTAAATATATATGCTTGCTGGCCAATTTATGGGCATACATACATATAACCTGCAGTGGTCTCGTGGCAGGCATGGGTCACGCCAACTAGCTTAGCTCTAGCTCTAGCCCCAGAAAAAACCTAACTCTACTGTTACGTAGATGCTCGTAGGGGCGGAATTCTACGTACTGGATCTTTACTTCTCCAGATTTTTGGATACGTTGCTCGACGCTCTCGAGTAGAGGATCTTCTTAATGGCGAGAACAACCCCAAAATAACTACGAAACTACTAAACTGAACGAAAGGAATAATCAAAGCAAACAAACATAAATTGTGTTCCAATCTTCTCATGACATTAAACGAACGAAACAAGTACACATTTATAGGCTTAGAAGCCTCTACCTTTTCCTATCTAGAACTTGAATACTACTCCCACAAGGAAACGATAACCAAATCCTACTAAGACAAGTAAACAATAATAACATCCCAATTAATTACTTAATACGAACTAATAAGAAAGATACGCAAGTCCTGTAATTAATGAAATACTACGATGGCTCGATCTCGTAACTGCTCCGTTTCCTTATTCAACCCTTCAAAGTTCAAACACAAGGGAGGGCCACTTGGCCAATTTTGGGTTTGCTGCCGGTGAGATGATTCGCGGGGATAAGAATAATGCGTTATATTGCGGTTCCGAGGAACAAACCGCCAGAATTTTGTTTGAAAAAAAAGGAGAAAATGAGGAATGTACTGAAAATGACGAAACCACTGCAACCTTAGTTGAATAAACTAATAATAATAATAATAATAATAATAATAATAATAATAGAATGGGCAAACAGCTATTACACAAATTCATGGAATTCTAAAGTATTGATGTTTCGAGATACTAATTAGACTTACATTGTAACAGTAAAAGTATAATTCAGTTTGTACTATTGATGAATTCATACTTTTATATTATGATACAAAATTACTTTATATCATATATAAATTTCTACGTACAAGTTCAGTCTTTCATCTCATGATGATCCCCAGGCTTCCAAGTGGTACACTAGTGTGCTTTGTCTTGAAAATGCACACAACGCTACCAAAAGCGTATCAATTGTATAAAAGCATTCCTAGGGTATACAAACCATGCTACACTATGGTATCTTCATAGAACTATGATACACTATCGTACCATATTTTATAATCTTATTTACTACCAAGCACACGTACGTACCGAGGGTCAATCGACGATGTAAGAAAGACAACGACCAACAAGAAAGTAAATAACACATGGATTTACATGGTTCACTAACACAATGCATGTTAGCTAGTCCACAGGCGGAAGAAATTTAGCTCCACCATACTTGAGGGATTACAGATTACAGAGGAGTATGATAGGTATTTATAGTACTTCTCCAATGACATAACACTAATCCATTGTAAAGAACAAGATTACACACCAGAAGCCCAAACGTGTACAATCCCATACACCACCGTGTGGAATGGGGATGTTGGCTCAGAACCCCCCCCCCCCCCCCCCAATCGGGAAATCCTTGCTCCGCCCGAGCCCCTAACCGGGTGCTTCACCTCTGGACCCAAATTCACTGGTCGGGCAGCGCGAGAACACCTTGTGACTTCCATTCGACGGTAGATCATCCGATTCAAGTCACATCAACAATTACCACCGTAGTATGGACTTGAAATGAAAGAGAGATACAACCCATTAAATTATTTTTTGTTCTCAAATATATCAAAGTGAATATTATTTTAAAAATCATAATTAAGCTAATTTATTTTTTGCAAAAAAAAAAAAAAAAACAGAGAGGGTAAATTATGACTTGAAATGAAAGAAATATAATCCATTAAAATTTATTATCTTCCATAAATAATAAGTGTAGAATTATGTATGGTTATTAATCAATAGGTTATTTTAAAAATAAAAGAAAATTCAACCGCTTGAATGAAAGAAAAGGGGGGAGCAAGCAAGTAGACCGCGCGTGTCGGATTCTGAATTTCTCATTTCTTATCTTTCCACTTCCACTCCATCTAGGTTGGAGGCAAAGCTAGTGAATTAAGTAATAAGGCCAGCTGCCTTTGAGACCTCCTTATCCACCCCTTCAACTCAACTAGCCACCTCCCTCTATTCAAAAAATCATCTACCTCATGTGGCACACGTGGAAGGCGAGGAATGAATGCATCTTCAGGAATAAACGGATTTGGCCGCCGGACACAATCAGTCAAGCAGAGGGCAGCTTCCATCAGTGGTCAACATGTCCAACCCTGAGAAAACAGTCTCATACTCTACCTCAGCCCACCCCACACCCCGATCAAAGCTCACCACCGCCAGGACCTCATGTCTTTGAGGTACACTGTGATGGATCGTTTTTTCACGATTCCCAGGAGGCGGCTTATGGCGTTGTCATTTTCAATAGCCATGGTCAAATTTGTGACGGGAAGGCTGAACCCTTACACTGCAGCTCACCGATTGAAGTGGAAACTTTGGCCCTTCTCGAAGGAACGAGGGCTGCGATCCAGCTTAATGCACCATGTCTCATTAGGTCTGACTGCCTATCCCTGGTTAAGGCAGTTCAAGGTTCCCTGGAACCCTGGCCATGGAGGGTTGCGGCCTGGATTGGGACCATCAGAGATCTTTGCTCCTCTTTTCCCCGGATTAGAATTGAGTTTTTTGGTAGGAAACTCAACTCTAGGGCGGATTGGGTTGCTAGATCCAGAGCAAAGAACCAGCTACCGCAAGATTGGATCCAAGTTCTAGAGATTTTGGCTCCTCTGTTGTAACCGGTTTTCATCCACTTTTATCAATGATTTCAGTGTCTTCATGTCAAAAAAAAAAAAAAAAAAAAAACTCAACTAGCCACCGTCCCCATCTCAATCAATCATTGCTTCTTCAATTCAATTCAATTCTCCCCCTTCCTTTTCGCTTTTCCGCCCACCTCCATTCCATTCCGCTTCTTTCCCCCTTTCACCCCTCCCTCTCTCTCTCTCTACTCTCACTCTCCCTTCTCTCTCTGCCTTCCTCCTTCTAAGAGGAAGGTCATCGTCGGTAGCGTCACGAAGCTTCCCGTCGACGACCAAATTCCGTTTACGGCGGCCTTGAGCGTCGTTCGTATTTGTTTTTGTATATAATACTTTGTTTAATTAAATAAATTGTTTTTAAGATGATGAGGAGCATGCACATGGGGAACTCCGCCCCGGCGAGAGGCATAGCTGCCATCGTCGGCGTTGGGCCCAAGCTGGGCCGCTCCGTGGCCCGGAAGTTCGCCCACGAAGGCTACACCGTCGCCATCCTCGCCCGCGACCTCGGTACGTACACCGTTTCGATCTAAGGGGGAAAAAAAATTTTCAATCTAATTTAATAATAATAATATTAAAACAATTTGTATCAGGGAGGCTGTCGATGTTCGCGGAGGAGATCGCGCGGGAGGAGAAAGCTCAAGTGTTTGCAATCAGAATAGACTGCTCCGACTCCAGGAGCATCAGGGAGGCCTTCGAGGGCGTTCTCTCGCTCGGCTTCGTCGAAGTTCTCGTCTACAATGCCTACTGCCCGGCTGCCTTGCAGCCCACCAACTTCGCCGACGTGTCTCTCGCCGCCTTCGAGCGGTCCCTCGCCGTCTCCTCCGTCGGCGCCTTCCTCTGCGCTCAACAGGTAAAAACTACAAATCTCTACTCACTAAATTAGTTAACCTTGTCACAAATAAAAAAAAATAAAAAATACTTGATGGGATGCATACGGAACTAGAAATTTGAATGAGCTAGAGTTGTGATAATTGAGAAGGGAGCTAACGGTTTAGCACTATATTATTTTCTAAATTTGCTACAGAGTTTTACATGTAATTTTTCTTATATTTTAAAATTGAGTGAGAGACATAGTCTCTCATATAGTCATAACTTCAACCTAACTCCGTCACTCCATTTATTGTTGTAAGCACGACCAAATCTCTGATCACATTTGATATCGAGAGCCGAGGAATATGAGTCAAAAGGAATAGGTCGTAACCGGATAGTTAAAGCGTAGGACTTATCTATGAGAGATATTTATATATATTTAACGGTTAGCTCGGATTATTTTGTAGGAGTAAGTACTAAACATTCCGATTTCTTGACTTTGGATAGTTTTTTGTAAAAGTAGTTTCTGAGTACTTGAGATTTTAGAAAAGTACTTAAAAAAACAGTTGGGTGTTTGACTGAAAAACTATTAAAAGTGCTTTTTAATAGAAGAGGTTGTGTATATAATATAAACTATGAATAAAAATTCTAAACAATAAAAAATAGTCAAAATGGATCTTGTTAGATTTATTTTATATTAAATAATATAATTTTATAATATAATTTTATAATATAATTTATTTTTAAAATGATATCAATGAAAGAAAACTATATTTATTGAAATAAAATCAAAATACAATAGAGATAATCTTGTATTCTCAAAACAGCCTTTGAAGCTCCAATATTGGAACTTCTGCTCTTATGTTATACAAAAACTCTTTTAGACTTTTTAAAAGCCAAGTTTTTAGAGATGTTTAGCTGCTTTAGTTTTTGAAGCCGAAAATCACCTCTAAAAGCCAGACCAAACATAGGCTTTATGTACTTCCATAAAGACATTTGGATTATAATAGCGTTTACCTCTTTAGACATGTTCATCAATAATTTTAAGAAGATAATTAGATGAAATTAGTGGAAGGACAATGATTAATAATCTACTTTTTATGAGTTAACCTTTGTATACATTGTGTTTGGTGGGTAGGTTATTCCAGGAATGGTGGAGAGAAGGAAAGGCACGATTCTGTTCACAGGTTGCGCGGCTTCACTAAACGGGATTCCTGGATTCTCTGATCTATGTACGTAAGGGCGCCAAAGATTCAATCAATCATTATATAGCTTTTTACATAGCACGTACGTACGTATTACTTTGTGAAAAAAATTGATGTCGTATATTTCTACGTATATATATATACATACATACAAGGAGTGGACACGTGTACGGTTGGTGCATGCAGGTTGTGGGAAGTTTGCACTGAGAGGTCTATCGCAGTGCCTGGCCAGAGAGTTCCAAGCTCTTGGAGTGCATATTGCCCATGTTGTCATCGATGGTCTGGTTGGCTCACCTAGGTCAGTTCCCTTTTCTTCTCTAGTTTATACCCTACCAGCAGGTCGGACCGAAAATACTGGATATCAAATTTAAAATAATAAATAATATACACCATCATTAACTTTTTTTATATAATTTTAGATACGGTTTCACAACTTATATAATTTGTTCACAGAAATATCTCATCGGTCTTCTTTTTTTTTTATCTCATGAATCTCTGTTGTGGATAATGTATAGTCGTGTTTTAGTGGGGAGCTTCGATTATTCCCAAGATTCCCATTATCTTAAGGATCTTTTCCACTTTTTTGGGAATTTTGGGGGGTTGATAGATATCCAACGAAAGGATAGAGTTCTAGTTCGAACTTCTAACCCAAATAAGGGGAGAATGAGGGAAAAAGAAAAAGATCTAAAGAAGCTCTCTTGATGGGGAAAGTATGTGGTTCAACTTCTGATGATATCTATTTTTTTTACTCGAGTTTTTGAAGTTTTCTTTTATTTTAAAAGTTGAATCGTGTTAAACACTCCAATAAATCTCAAGTTTTCTTTTATTTTAAAAATAAAATTTCCGGGCAAATTAAAAAAGTTATTTATTTAGAATATAAAAGTGAAATCTCTTATGTGGAGATTTTGAGAAAAATTGTTTTGAAAGTAGAATATTTTTTAATTTTAGGAAATAAATTAAAACAAACAGAACTATCATTATTTAATGCAAATCCTCCAACAAAACCATTTTTACATAATATCTATATTTGTGATCCTTTTACTCATTTTACATTAAAAACTTCTTTTAGTAGTTTATTAATGAAACACTAAATTGCTTTTCGAAACACACTTCCCTAAAAACATCAGTCAAAACCTTTTATATATATATATATATATTAAAAAAAACTTCAGTCAAAACCCTACATCTTTTTTGTCTAGTTTTGTATAATTTAGATTTTTTTTTTTTTTACAATAGTGGTAAGAAACTATGAATTTAGAAATTTAGATTCGACGAAGAAGTGGAGCATGATATGATTGGCAATAAATTGGGGAATCGTCACATTATATGCATTGCTGGACGTAGATTGACTAATAAAAAAGTACCCCGTGGTACCGCATGCAGGGGACCATCGTCGACGTCGCCGTCGACAGGCAGTACCACCGGCGGTGGTTGGTGGCAGAGGACGGCGGTGGTTGGGGAGCAATTAGTACAACGACAACAAGTCGAAGGAGAAGTGGTAGTGGACGGTGGCGGGCCACCGGAGCCAATGATGATGATGATGGACCCGGACTCTTTGGCCCAAACCTACTGGCATTTGCATGTCCAGGACAGGACGTGTTGGACCCAAGAGATCGACCTCCGCCCTTCCCACTCTCAACAGTGACGCCAGCCGGCCCGGCCCCAAGTTAATTACTACTTTACCCCTTAATTAATACAGATTGAACTAATATTGCTCTTGAAAGCTCCTCCTTCCCAATTTTTATGTGGTGTTTAAATATGATGGTGAAAGCTCATTAGTACGAAATAGCTAGTCGTCCTGTCAATCAAATCTTATACACATACACATCAGTTTCCGTATTAATTTGTCTTCTTCCTACTGTTTTTGTTTTACCCTTTGTGACCTTCGTTTTAAGGGCAGTGGGTCATATTTTGTTGTCTTCTACGGACGAGCGAAGGGCTTCGTGTCCCAATTTAGGACACACGACATACAATACAAGCCTATCTCTCTCGTGGACTTTGAATCCGATCGAGCTTTTTTTTCTCTAGCTAGTAAGTAATGACCCTATTATTTTCCTACCTTCTAGCCCGATGGTGACAAAGGGATCTTGTTCCACTGCAATCAATGTTTCGGTGGAAACTGCACCGCACTTGGTAAAAGCAGGACATGAGTAACGAGAGAAGAGGAACACTACGGAAGAAGAAGCACACCAAGTAGTAGGTTTATATGTAAATTTTGAAAATACGGACATCAAAGATGATACCGATCGATGTCCCCAAGAGGATTATCTATCATTTTAGGTTAAAACCTTGGAGGATCGAATCATCGTCACCAGGGGAAATTAATATATATAAATCTGAAGTAATATTATTTTTGCCTAAAAAGTAACATTTTGAACCCCAAATTTAATTAAATCACAATTTAGTCATTATAATGTATATTTAACATTTTGATACCCCAAATTTAATTTTAATGTAAAATCATTGAACAATTATACTTTGGTATCTAAATTTTAGGAGATTTTCGTACCTACAAATTTTAAAATTTACATATTGGTCCAATGTTTAGATTTCACTTGAATCCAATCCACCATGACATAAAAGTATAGATTTAGTTTGTACAATACAAGATGTTGTATCACTCAACTGTAGGAGAAGATTCGACCATTTCATATTTGCTCATTACGTGAAATATTAAATAAAAGATAAAACATAGACGACTCTCAAATATTGCAACAACAAATTTATAAACTCATTTTGTACATTTACGGGGTACTAAACAAATTTCTACGGTGAAAAGGGTTGATTGTTGTACTGACGACCAACTAAAAGAATTGGTCAAAACATTTCCATTATCTACTTCCTCTTCATTTCATTTTTCACTCGCCTTCCATAACCCTTTTTAATTTCTACACATATCAAATAAATAATTTCATTTTTCTATAAAAAGTAAATAATTATCATCTTAAATACATCACCATAAAAGGTATTAAGCCTCAACTTTGCAAATTATAGTTTGGTACCTAAATTAGTAGATCTTTAGATTTATAACCTAAATTTGTTTTTTTGACATATAACTCCTCAAAATATTGATGGAACATTATATTTTAGTACCTAAAATTTTAGTGTATTATATTTTGGTACCTAAACTTTTGAAGATCTACAAATAGGTCTAATTTGTGTATGTTGAATTAAAACACCCTTGAATAAATGGGTATTCATACCCAAATCATAAACATTTAGATTACGTAAGTAAATATCAATACCCTACCAAAACCCATCTACAAACTTCAAAACCCATATATATGTCACCCATACCCTACCCATGATCAATGGGTCTACTTGGGTTTAGCTAAATATCATTTACTATCCAAAATTTTCAAAATATTTTAAATTGGATGTTGACCGCCATATATATTTTCTCAGTCAATATTATAATTTCAAGTCAATATTACTAATACAACTGCTAATAAAAAATTAATTTTAGACCAATAATACTAACAAAATATATAAGGGGCCACATAATGCATGCTCATATGTCAATGTCATCTCCGCTCACGACAAGACGTGACATCACCGCCTAGTTATACTAAAAGTGTACAAGTATAAAACGAAGGAGAACTGGGAATCAAACCCAGGTTCTGAAAAACCCATGCCAGTCTGCTGATAGCACATTTACTGCTAGTCTACAATATTGAACTTATATTGTCTATACCTACTTTAGAGTTTTCTTAAATTTATGGGGGGACCATTTTGCCCTTAATCGTCACCAGTACTAAGGAGCTTCTGGGACGATGACGTCACTTTCTCTCAG